GTCTGAAAGAAGAAAGTCATATACACCTAGGATGACTTGAGGGTGAGTAATTTATGGACTAATTTTCATTTTTGGGTGAACTAACCCTTTAAGGTTATAGCAGCCATTGGTTGATTTGTAGACGAGCTGCAACAAGTATCTTTGCTGTTGCTTTTGTGTGAAAGACTATTCTCAGTGCAGGGATTGTCATGACAAAACTTCAGAATTAAAATAATCTGTTTGATAATTTACCTTAAAAAGTCATATGAAAAACTGCATGACTGATGTCCATGCTAGCATCTGTTCTGTTGTAGCAGTTCCTAGAGGGCCACTGTCCTGCAGAGTTTAGCTCCAATCCTAATTAAATCCGCTTGAACCAGATAAGGTCTTCAGACTCACTAGAAACTATAGGCAAGTGTGTTGAGGCTGGTTGGAGCTAAACTCTGCAGGAGACTGACCCTTTTCTGCAGGACTGGACATCCCTGCAGTAGCAGTTAACTTAACTAACTCATATTCACCAGGTTCTTGATTGTATTTGTGTTTCCTTGCAGAAATCAAAGACTGATACTGTGTATGAAAATGTCCCCAAAACACGATGATCAGATGCACTGTAAAAAAAATGAATCATGGGTCTTGTGATTTTCGTAAAAAAAATTAAGGTGATAATTTAAAATATTGTGTATATTTCATTAAAGAAATTGTGGTTCAGTGTTGTATAGAAAATATTGAGGACTTTTTACTAATAAAACCAAGAGATGTGTTTCCCTTTTTTTTTTTTTAAAAAAAAAGAAAACTTAAGCAGTTTTGGGGCTTGAATTGAGGAACTGATTAAACTAAAAAAAAATTAAGGAAAGAAGGCTACCCATTTATTTTAAGAGAATTAGCTCAATTTTGCAGTTTTATTTTATAGGTGATTGTTAGTTCCCAGCATGCTTTTCATATGGCTGGATATGGAGAGTAATTTTGAAATTAAATGCTATTTTATGTGTGTTTGAGTGAAGGGAAACATCTATTAATGTTTAATGTTCAGTTAGGTTTGACATTTGAAAGAGTTTCTGTTACGTTGAAGTTTCCATTGCACAGTGCAATCGTTACCATTGTGCAGAAGAGTAGAGCTTATGGTTATGGATACTACTCCTATAAGGCATTAAGCCTGGTTCAATGAGCAGTAGCTCTGCTAGCGCAGTACTTTCCAGTATTTCTCAAGTATTTTCCTACTTGAGCTGTTTGGCTGTATACAGTCTTTTAAATGTACAAAATAAGTCAAATACAAACAGACCTCACTCAAAATCACAGACTTTTGAGAATCAATTTAAAATAAATGAGCACATTTCACTAATTATATTAAATTCATTGTATCATAGGTAAATTAATTTAGGAGATTGTACATGATTTATTCAGGGAGATTCCATTAAAAAAATCAAGCCTGAAAAACTACTAAAAATATTGTGTAATATTGTTACCATCATTTTTTTAAGTAAATAGCTCATTCCATTTTTTTACAGTGTACTATCTACTGGAACTGATAGATCATACTGGACAATACCTCACACACACATTTTGTTTTTGTTCACATTTATTCCCTGCTATGTCACCATTTGTATCAAAACATTTCTATTTTTCATATAGAAATTTACATGTCATTATTAAATGTTGATCCCACCCCGCTGTTCTTTTGTCTGTAATTTACTGCTTCTGTTTTATTCTTTGTAGGAAATGTAACTGAATATTGTCTGTGTCAGTTTGCTTTTGTTTTATTCTTTGTAGGAAATGTAACTGAATATCGAGTGCATTGCACAGTGATTACAAAATCACACACTTGGACATTTTTAAATTCAGCACAAGCACATAATCGCATCACCATCTCTAATAATATCGCTACTTTTACCCGATAGAGAGCGCTATAAACACATGCTACTGTTCTTCTCATAGAGGAACCACAGACCCAATAATGACTCCGTATACTTGATCACTGCACGGCAAACACTAAATCTTATTAAATCCGCTGAATCTACTGAATATTGTCTATAAATAACAGTATCACCATCACGAAGATAAATTGACATATAGCTGCCCACAAAAGTCAAGTCAAATCTAGGCTATTTATATTGCACTTTTTACAACAGGCTACACAATGTTTCAAAGCAGCTTTACAGAAAATCATTATGTTAAAGTCTATACCTTTATGCTCTGTAGTCACATTTAGCAGATTAAATAGCCCAGTCCAACACCGAAAGCACCTACAATGGGCATGTAAGTATCAGAACTGGACCTGGAGCAGTGGAAGTTTGCCTGGTTTGACGAATGGTGTTTCCTGATGGCAGTGGCCTCTTTCAGCAGGATAATGCACCCTGCACAATGCAAAAATTCAGGAATGGTTTGAGGGACATGGCAAAGGGTTCAATGTGTTGTCTTGGCCTCCAAATTTCCCAGATCTCAAGCTGGACCAATGCAATCCATGGAGGCCCTACCTCGCAACTTGCAGGACTTACAGGATCTGCTGTTAATTTCTTGGTGCCAAAGACCATGGGACACATTCAGATGTCTTGTCGACTCCAAGGCAGCACAAGGAAATCTACAAGTTATTAGGCAGATGGTTTTCATGTTGATCAGTGTATTCCTGCTATAAGGACCTGAAAACTGTAAAAGACCGACAGGTATTATTACTAGAGATTGACTGACAATTGGTTTTACCAATATTTTTTACTCATATTTAGGCATTTCTATACGGTCATCACTTTCATGATTTTGAGTGGCGCCATCTGGTGTTTTCTATAATTACATCACAGCACTATGCAACAGGAAACAGTGTACACAGGAAAAGGCTAGTTTTACATGTTTTTCATGTTAATAACAGTTATTTATAGATCATGTATGGGATACAACAAATATATACACAACTGGAAAGTATGTAAGCCACAATATAGGCGAAATACACTATAACTACAACTATAAGAGTGAAAAATGTTTGAACGTTTCAGTCACAACATGACTCTTCAGTGCCTACTCATCAAGACACAAATAATACAAACAGCAGAAGAACATCTCTGATTTAAACATTCACTCATCAGACAAACCTACATGAGTCTCAATGATGATCTTGTACATCTTAAAGGGGTCATATGATGTTGCTAAAAAGAACATTATTTTGTGTATTTGGTGTAATGAAATGTGTTTATGTGGTTTAAGGTTAAAAAAACACATTATTTTACACATACTGTACATTATTGTTTCTCCTCTGTGCCCCGCCTTTTTGAAACGCGTCGATTTTTACAAAGCTCATCAGTCTGAAAAAGCGAGGTGTGCTGTGATCGGCCAGCTATCCAATCCGTTGTGATTGGCCGAATACCTCAAGCGTGTGACAAAAATGTTACGCCCCTCACCATACTGTGATGCC